TAATACGGAATACCTAAATCAAACATGAACGAGACGACACGCATACACGACCGGCAGAACTCGTTCTATTTCTCCTAGACTGGCGCACGTCGGCCAGACGTTTCTTCATAACGAGTGCGCTTTTTCTCCGAGACCCTCTTAGTTACTCGGAAAAAGGAAGCGTCGTTAATGTCGCGCAACCCGACGCTACGCCAGACGCTACGAGACCGTGGAGGAGAGACCTTGCCCGCTCATCGTCTGCCCTTCGTGTTTGAATTTAGACGGGATTCAATTCTAGGAAAAAGAGACCGCGCGAAAGGCCTCGCCGTTTCTTGCCAATCGCTTCCCCTTATCTATGCCGCGAGACGAGACATCTTAGCATCTTAGATTGATCGTAAGAGAAAAAAAAAATTCACGGGAACCTTAGGAATGCGGAAGTATTTGAACCCTTTGCGTATCGGGTCTATCTCTACATCGCGTTTTGTCTTGTGAATCATATTAACACGTTTAATACCATAAGTTGCGCGGCCGAGAAGAAGAAGAGAACGGACGGGCTCCGGTAGTCCACATAGGTGATTGACTAATTTAAAAAAATGTTCTATCGCTAACCGTGCGCTAACGGGACCACCCTTCCCGAGGGAACAGTCACGCATGCGGAAGGCCTAAGTACGTTCTGGGTATGAAGCGACGTTTCGTAAGGTCGTCGTTCGTCGCGCGAGCTATTCTCTTCCACGGATGTCACCGTGTTCGTTTTGCCCCCCTCGGCCGAAATATAATGAGGCTAACGAGAATAGTCCTTGGAGAAAATGAAGAAAGGAAAGTCATTTCGGGCAAAGGAGGCAGTCCCGCGCGAAAAAGAGAGATGACTGACGAACGTCGCTAATGAGAGAGGGCCGCGTTTTCCTCCTCTTCTCGAACGACGGACCTCTGAAAATTCCGCTAACGACCGCGAGTGAACAGAGCACATTGTGAAGCGCGACACTCGTCCCGTCCTCGCTTACGGCTTCCTCGAAGCGCAAATCCGCGATCGCTCTCTTCTTCACGAAAAAAGGACGAGAGAGAGAGAATTCAGCCGTGCGGAACAAAACAGCTTTTTACCTAAGGTGTTTCCCGTTGTTTCTCATTTCAACGCAACGTCCGGAGCTTTTTCTTTATTAATCCTCTCTTGCCGGCATTAAATTCACTTGACTCTGACCAGAAATTTGGCGAAAATTTCTACTCGGGAACGTCCCACGCGTATCTCTTCTGGAAGAATCGCCGAATGCTCGACATTGCAACGTAAAACGAAGGATCCCGCGACCCTCCGCGATGGGTGCCATCTAAAAATCCCGAAGATAAAAAAAGGAGGACTCTCGCCTTGATGTTCCCGCGGGATAAAAAAGTCCGCACAGCGACTCCTTTTAGACCCACGGCTCCGGCGAATCCTCAAAGAACGAGAGGAGATGTTCTCGTTTGGTACGCATCGTTCTCCGAATAATATTCTCCCTCCCCTGACGCGTCGATCCGCACGAATGTTTGATCTCGCTGGAAATAGGGAAGCGAACGAACGCTCACGCTTCTGCGTGATGTTTTCGCGCGACTGCGGTGGTCGCATCGCTATATGCTCATGTTGCAATTGCGAACTGCGTTTTCGTTCGGTTTACCGGGAACAGAAGTCTGACAACACGTTCCAACGTGGGGAAAATAACTTCGCGAGTCTGGAAAGGTTAGAAACTGGAACAATTTTAAATAACACACATTTTTCAGTAGAAATAAACATACCGTTTTCAACACGAAATTTTTCACCGTGTAGAGAGTATTCGAACTAAGGCAAATGTTCGAAACGTGTCAAATTTAGTTGAAATTTGAATCGTAATGCCAGCCAGTTGAGATACCTCGGAGAATAATTGTAAATCATGCGGACATCTAGCGTTGGCGGCCGCGCACTATTATTCATTTGGAATCGCTCTGATTGCACGTGGGAAGTCTGAAACGGCCCAGTAAGCGAGAAATTATTAACGCAACGTTATTACAATGATATTTTATAATATGTAACCTTTTCAAATATGTACTTCTTAATGTTACATACAACGTCATTGTTAACAATATTTGATCGAAACAATAAAAATAACATTTCTACACTATGACTTTAATATTTAAGAACATGATATTATCAGGTAACGGTTTAAAAACATTTGTGAAATATTATGTCAAAATGTTTGTAAAATCCACGTGAAACCAACGTTTCAAAAAATCGATTTAACATTTCTTGCTTACTGGATGCCCCGTAGATAATAAGAACGCACGAAGCGCGGGATTGCATAATGCATTGATGCCACGGTAGATGGCTGCTGCACCACATCGTGTGTTAAAGCGTATCATTTGCGACCACGTGCTGACGCATCACCGTGTGCACACCTGTGCACGTGTAATATATGATTTATACGAATTGTAAATAAGAAAGTGCACACAGATACACGAATGACGGAAGATAATAAGAACGCCCGTGATGATAACACAAAATATGATGATGACATGAACATTATTCTCGCCGGTATCTGAATTATTCCAAGTTAACTCGAGAGTTATCTAAAAGATATGATAATTAATCGTAACTGATAAAAATAATTCAGTCGGTTTGAAGCTTCCACATCGACAAGGGGGATTGCGGGTATATTCGTTTCGGCCAGCACGGACGCTCGGTCAGTCGCGGCGTGCAATTATGCAATTATAAGTTTTGCATGTCCACCGCTGCGAAGGCCGTTTTGCTTGAGTTCGATTAATTGCCGACGGGCGTGTTACCTCGGCGGTAACGGGTAGGTAAGCCCAGCTAACGCCAAGCCAGCTGACGATTCACGCGTTCTTTTAGACGGAGGAACGACGATCAGCATAGAAATCGCAGCGCCAATCTGGCGCCTAGTCTCATCGGAGATGTCAGATCGATCCACTCCGCGGTGCATACCAATCGATGCATCGTCGCGGTGCGATGCACTCCCGTAAAGGAACTCTCTCTCTCTCTCTCTCTCTCTCGGCCTTTGTCCGCCTAGTCGCGAGAGGATAGGAGGTTCGTTCAATCCCCTCTAGCGATTTGCATGATGGTTGAGAGCTCATTTCAAAGCGGCCGCTCGTTAGATCGTTAATTCGGTTTGCGCATGTCGCTCGTTCTCGCGGTGTGTTAAAACTAATTAATCGTACGATACACGTTATGTATCGCCGTACGTGTTGCGCTCGCCATCGATGCGTATCGGTGTGTATAATGATTCAGGAAAATGTATGATAACTCTATAAGCGCGTAATACTACTTAATATTAAGTAATATTCCGGGCATATCCTTAGAATATTAGAGGTAATATTCTATTAATATTCTAACAACATTATTTAATATTAATGGATAGTAATATAGTAATATAATTATTGAATAATATTCATATAATGTTCTAGGAATATTACGCGCTTACAGGGAATGAAGGACAAGAGCCGAGTGCAAAATCAACTCTTGTCTTTTTTTTTATTATTGTGAGGCAATGGCCATTGTAACTTTGAATACTTTGAATGAACTTCGACAACTGGAGATATTTTACTGACGAAAGTACGAAGGTAGATTGAACAGTTTCCGACCTGACCGAGCAAAAGTTCAGTGAAATTTCAATGCTTATCCGATAGATGGCACTGAAAGAAACACAAAGAGCTAAGTTTGATATCATTCCAGCGATTAGTTTGTAAGTAGTGGTGCCGACACAAGTCTATCTATATTATATATCATCATTTGTCCTTGATTTTGTTCTTTTCAAGTATCCGTGGCGAGGCGCCGCGAAAAAGCTGACGCCTGGCTGATAGCAACCCGGTTTTCGAGTGCTCACGCGCCGGTGGTCGATCGATCAGACACCGACCGATGCAATTACCGCGGCTGGCTTTGGCCAGGCCGCAACAGTAATCATTACTTAATCCTTTGACTGCGATGTAGACTATGGACGCAAATGCGCGCTCGGCGAAGGCTTTGGTTGTTTACTGCTGTAATGTGTTGTCTACAGGAAACATAGAAGAAGGAGGGATACTCCATACGAGTGTACAAAATGCGACGTCGGATTATGCGTTGTTTTGAGACTTACCATACGCAATTAAACTATTAATTTTCTTATTGTTCTGATTTCTTAAAAGTTTCTGTTTATATATAGAGTATTTATGTTACTTACTTGTTATTTGCTCAATTTTTCAATTTCCAATATCCAAACACGTACATTATAACTATCAAATTATGGCGTTTTAAAACTTTACTATTGGTGAATAAACAATATATATTGAAAATAAAAAATGATTGGATTCATTTTGCAGTGGACAAAATAATAGTAATTGGATTGTGTACTATATTATAATGTGTCAATACGCCGCCGATAAGATCCATATTGCGCGCAAAAGTATTCAGCGATCGCTACTGCCGGCCGCACGCCGCTCACGCGAAGCGCTTCAACTTAGAGCAGTCAAAGAGTTAAAAGGAAGGTAAACTAAGTATCCTATAAGGACGTAATATCCTTAGAATATTATGTAATATTTTTTTAATATTATAGGAATGTTCGATTGATGTTATACGTCTACTTCACATAATATTTTTGGCATATTATAAAAATATTCTTGGAATATAAAAAAAATATATATGTGTGTATTATATATATACATATCTATAATTTTTTTAGTATAAAACATATTTTTACACAAAATTCTTTCAACTTTATTTATATGATAAAACAATTGGTATTGTAATACATTTGAAATAAAAAAAATTCAATTATATATATTATATATATATGCACATAGAGTTGAATATTTGAAAAATATATAATATTAAAATAACATTAAATAATATTATTTTTCAAATATTATTAGGAGTGGACATATAACTGTCTATTAATATTCCAGAAATATTACTGAAATAATATTATGCGCTTATAGGTAGTACACACATATCGTGAAATGTATCTAGTCTTGTGATCACTCGCTCGATGATTAGAAAGAAGTCCACGTTGGACAGGGGAATGAAACAACCGTTAACGAGGTTGACACGCAAACTTTGACGTGGCTGATGCAATTTATTAGCATTCTTTCGGTTTTATCGAGGATTTCATCTTGGTTCAGTTGGTATGTACACGGTACAGAGTTGGAAATATTAAATAACACTTTTACACACAATGTAAATCTCTCTCTCTCTTTTTCTCTCCCTACATTATATCGAAACACCTCAATGAACGGTGAATAATCTGCATCATTCAGGTATTTCATTCGTTCTATTCGCACTGCCCGATCGACGACGGCCGACACATGTATCTATATATTATATATATATGGCGTGTGCATATACACCTACATATGCCCTGAATTGACTAGGATCGTTCTGTGGTAACATCCTACAAGCACACACACATTCACAAACACACGCACACATACATAGATCGTAAGACGAGCGTGACGTAAGCGATACAGTGGACCGTCGTCGGGGCACGAATAGGACATGTGTTGTGAGTATCACAGTAACATATCATAATGCATGTTACAAATTTTGTACTCCGTGTGACAACGCAACGTTCGCACGCACACCCAAAATGCGCATGTTTTGATCTTCACAACACGGTGGGTGAGTGGGCCGCGTGAACGCTGCTGCTGTTTTTGCGTTCTCGTCACGTTCCTCTATCCCGCTTTTCTGTTCCGGAGAACTCCCGGAGCACTCGTGCCACGAACATGATGCAAGGTCTGTTTTTTCCTTCATTTTTTGTTTTTCCCCCTTCCCCCCTTTTTTTCTTCGCTTCTTGTGCAAACAAGACGACGCGTGATGACGCGTTAAATCGCGATGCTCATTTTCAGTTTTAACAAAACGGAGAACGGAGTACACAATAACAATTATTTTAATTATTATATTATTGTTACTTTGTTTTCTTATTATTATTATTTTTTTTATTATTATTATCATTATTGCTGCTCCTTTCCGCATAACGAAGAATAAATCCGCGATATCCCTATGAACGTAAACGTGAACAACAACCTAGTTAGCACTTGTATGGCCTGAGGAAAGGGATATCTTACGATTAGAACGCCGAGAGAATATTCGTCCTTTGTCAAGCGATAACGTGTCGATTCGGAGCTGCTGTCCTCTCTTTGGTGCTTCGCGAAAGCGACGTGTAAAAATGACACACAGAACGAGTCGCCGGTAACGAAACACTCGCGAGGATCTCTTCAACGAATCTCTCTTCTCTCGGTCGAGCACTCTTTTGTTTGCCGGGACTCGTCGACCTCCTCTTTTCTCAGAGCTCGTGTTGAGATCGTTGCACTTGTCACGTCGCTCCTCCTTGCGATCCTGCGACCGTGAGAATCGTGAGCCGTGCAGGAACGATGGCGAGCTCGAAGACTCAAAGAGTCAAACGAGGGACTTTTAATCGCAAGTTTTCAGTTTAAAATTTGAATTTGAGAAAACGAAAAATTAAAACCTCCACTCGCTGTTGTCTCATTGAATTGTCTTTTATTCAACTCGTCGGGAATGCACGGAACGGTTCGCACCGTGTCTCTCACGATCACAATGCGTCGTGCGAGTCCCGTGGTCGAAGTTCGCTGTCATCCATGCGAGAAATTAATTAATCACAACAACGGACTAAATCTCTCTCCTGGAACTTTCACCAGCGGATGTGCCTCTTGTACTCTTCGTTTATGCTCATCCTCTTGATGGTCTCGTATCCCAGAATGATCGAGAAGCTGAAGCATGCGGACTGCACGAGTCTCGCGGACAGTCCTTTGGTGAACATGTGCAGACCCTCCTCGATCCACAGGATCCTGAAGGCGCTTAGCATACTGTCCAGCCTCTGCACCTGCAGTCTCGCTCTCACGATGTCCAGAGGATTCGTGACGATCGTGGTGGTGAAGCCGCCGAGCGTGCCCGCGATCGCTTGTATGCACAGATGGGAGAACCAACCCGGCAGTAGCTTCAGAAGTTCGTCTGCGCACGGAAAATGCGCGAGAAACGTCGTTATCGCTTCTTCCTCGTCATTGATCCCCGAATGATCGGGGACGATTCGAAATAACTCGTCAATTATTTCGCGGGCAGAATTTTGTGGTAAAAATTATTGAAATTCTACGAGCGAGAAACGCGCGTACGCCGACATTTTGTCCTAATTCCTAAAACAGAGATGGCCGAGAACACGTGTCGAGAATGAATCACGCTCTCGACGGCCGAAAACATCGACAATAAAAGAGGTGGCTGACAAGATTAACGCACTTATTTAAAATGATCGTCGAATTGCGGTACGGAATTTGCTTCTACATTCAATATCAGTGTCGGTAATGCGGGATAGCTGTGTCAGTAAACACGGACATCCATTCACAAAGACGTTTACCTTGATAAACTGTGTACAATCCCCACCAAAGGGCGCTGTTAGGCACGTAAGCGCACAAGGATGCCACGTAGCCCCTGTAGAAGCCGCGGTAACCGTCCCTCTGATAGATCAACCTGACTATGTCGGCGGAGATTTGAGCGCGGGTTTTGTCAGGCTCGAAAGTTATGCCCAGCGGATTCATCCCGAACTGGAAGAAATTTCGAGTCAGTAGCGCGGGCGAGAATAGCGATCGCGTGAAACACACTGAGAAAAAGGAACGAATCGACAAAATCGACGTCCCGTTGATTCCACCAGATTTTTCTCTCGGTACAGAAAAGCGACTCACTTTGTCCACGGATATCCTTCCATGTTTGGTGTTGCCGATCCCGAGGACCATGAGGTGTTGGCTAAGAACGTCGAAGGGCACAACTATCGTCTGGCCGACTAAACTGGCGGCACCACCCGCGATCAACGCTTTGACTTTCGAATCCACGTGACCGGCGAATGTGTCTGTTAGCAAGTGACGCACGCCTTCGTACGTCGACACGTAAAACACCCCGGAGATGATTTGAATGGAACTTATCCAAAAGCCCCTGTAGAGGCCCGAGACGCCTTCCACTTTATGAATTTTCCTACACGCATCTATCATACCTGTTGACAGCAAGAAAGGCAACAATAGCTCTATGTCTTGCTACACGTTCACTCATTCTTTACACAGCTTTAAGATCGTCTTTGAACGACAAATTTCATATAATTTAATATAATCTTTATCATGCGTGCGGTATAAAACTCAATGGAACTATGTTTAGTTCTTTCCCAGTTTCGATACATCTATGAAATACGGTAACACTAGATAGTTACCGATTGGGTATTTGGTAAAACTATACAGATTTATACCAACTTTTCAATGTATATCAAAGCAAATCCATACCATTGTACATGTGATTCTGCCTCTGCACCTGAAGGCGAGTCTTGATCACCGTCAGGGGATACAGGCAACACCTGACCGAAAACGAAGACAGCATGCTCAGCGGGAAGAACTTGCTCTTGTCCATCATGTCCCATTCGATGGTGCGAATGAACGGCGTCGCCTCCACCGCAGACATCTCTCGGATAAGCGCCGATCTCGCAGGTAATAAATTCAAACGAAGAAATTGACGAGGGGCTCGCTCCAACCTGACGCCGCATATCTCATCGGTGTATGACAGGCCGTGACGCCCGAAATTCTCAGTGATCTGCAAATATATCAATCCGACAATACACACATATATATATATAATGTCCGGGAGAGTTTAACGCACTAGATGAAACACACGTCTCATCGGGAGGGGGAAATCGAGGTTGCCGAGTCTGGAATTTAGGTTATCCTAACCTCTTCGCGAGAGAGACTCTTTTGCATTGTCAGCGCGGATCCCGCGCTACGACATATTTATGACCCACTCGAACTTTGACTCGGACGTCCAACTAAAATATATCACCGACAAGTAACGCCGCATCCAATCGCGAGACGTCACGATGCAACCTGTGGCGTTTGCGAGACGGACGCGAGAATACGCGAGGAGTTACACTTCATCTCCACATAATTGCGGCGCATGTTTATACGGTATCGAAAAAAATTCGGAAAGTTGCGAAATCGTGTGTGAGAGGGAGAGAGATCGACGGATCTTCCACGTGCGGAACGCGTGTGCTCTCCGTTCTACTCATTCGATTCTTATCTCGACGGCGCGTGACTGTGCTTGTCGTTCTATCCCTTTGGAACAACGATGTAACGACGAGCGAGTCTCCGAATCCGCGAATGTGATATTTTTCGTCGGCCGAATCGTCGCTCGGGCGAGAACGTCGAATAACTCGAGGACTCGTTACACTCACGTGATGCAATACGCGCTTCGGAAACGAGGAATCCTGGGCCGCGATCGATGGGCGGGATTCCTTCGTTAGCGCGTTCGTCGCGTTATTGCGCGAGGAGAAAAGGCCTCGATCTCACTTTTTCTTCGGCACTCACGAACGACGCGTTGTTGCCGCTCCGACGCGCGTTACGTCGCCGAACACCCGCTACGTCCCACGTTCGTCTCATCGATTCCCGCGATCTCGGGATCGCAAATTTGCTCGCTCATCGTCGGGCAGCTGAGAAAATCGTGGGAGATCGCCAGTCCGCTCCTTCTAATTGCACTGTCTGTACTTTGCTTACCATTCCCTTTTGCCCTCGTTTTTCCTCATCTCACTTCGCGATGTGTGCCGGGTGCAGAAGGTGCAGCTCGGTGCAGCCGGACGGACTTCACGAGCTGAGAACACCGGTGTTTGCCGGTATTTAGATAAAATTATCTAAACAATCATCCAGATAAATAAATAGATCTCCTTTATCTGTATGAGATGAACTCACTTTTCGAGCAAATGAATGAAATATTATGGACCTATGCGTTAAGCCCATATCAGACTAGGAATTAGGGATTAGATTTCAACGAATCAACAATTTTCGGTTTTAGTCCTATCCTTTGGTCTGTTCTTTTTAGCTACACTGCTGAACTGGTGCGTCTAAAAAGAACAGACTATTTGTTTCAATCGATCAGTCCACTTTAAGGGGTTAGGCCAGTCTAGAGCCCTCAAAAAAGGCCTAACTTTGACAATTTATTCTGGGAGTAAGGAAAAAGGGATCGAATTTCTCTCTTTCAGGCTTTATTAAACATGTATTTGAGTGTATAAAAAAATGTTTATATTGACATTTTGATACAAAATGGCGGCTACTGGGCCAATCTTCGGAATCACTTTTTTCAAGAGGGCCTCTACGGGCGACGGTGATTCTAGGAACTCGTGCTATCTGAAACAAAATAAAGAACGGAATTTAATCTACATAAGACTTGCTAGTAAAGTACGTATGTTTTTAGATTTACATCAATTTTTCGCAAAATGGCGGACTTGTAAAAAAAGGTTCAATTTTTGACCGAAAAAATGAGCAGTAAATTGTTTATAAAAAAAAAAGTTGCAATGATAACAAAAAATTCGTACGTAGTTTACTAGATAATGTTACTGTGAAGCTACAGTTAAAATTTCAAGTGGATACGTGCGATGGTCTCCGAGTACCATCGTCGCCCGATTTAAAAAATGCAGTTTCGAGAAAAACGCGTTTAAAGTTTTACGTGCTGAAAATTTTGTTATACCTTCAGTCTGCGATGCCTGCGCCGTACATTTCACCTTCCATGGATACGTAGAACTCATCTTCTTCCTTTCTGGATGCCTTCTGTTCGATTCGAGACCTTCTTGCAGCATCTGAGAGCGAACGATCGGATAATTTGATGCGGTTTTGATCAGTCTCTTGACAGTAATTGTAGCAATTCGGCCCAATTTTGATGCCTATGTTCTGCATGACTCTCATGGCACTTATGAGGCCATCATTATAAGTACCTGCAGCAATATATACAGCTGTATCAAGTACATTTTTGCCACTGGATGTCACTTTCGGGGCCATCGACCATACTGTAGCGTTGAAACTCTCATTACTGTTTTGAGTGAAGCCGCCTATGCAATGAGTGAGTAGGTCATCACTGGTTAATTTTTCATAAATTGGAGTTATAGCCTTGTATACTTCTTCATGTAAAGGTGGTTTATGTGTATTCGTCCAAAGTTCCAGTAGTCTTGGCCCTTTGCCACGAGCACCACGAATTTTCTCCGCTCGGGCAGTGATCGTGCTTGGGCTTGGCATCTGTTGATAATTCACTCATATTGTTAACAATGATAGTTTATCAGTAAAAACCACTGTAGTCAATAAAGTAATTCGTTAAAGCAGAAAAACTAACGAAAACAAAAAGAAGCGTCCACGCGTGGCGTCGTTTTTCAGCTGACTGACCCACACACAAGCCCACACATACAGCTGTATTGATGAACTAGCACTTCCTAACGACCTTTTGAGGAACCATTAGAGCCCTCAGGCCCCGTTGGTACATTAGTGCAGAGGGTAAGAGTCGTAAAAAGGGGACAAAAGGAAGCCCGCCGCGGCAGGTAGAAAATGCGCTTGTCGCCCGCTCCGAACGCTTCGACACTACAGCGGATTGGACAGGGAAAAAATTTTTTGTCACTATTCTACCAATTGAATAATGTTTTTAGGACCCTAAAGTGTACTTTAAGCAAAAAAAAAAATTTCGATTTTTTGAAAATCCTAGACTGGCCTAACCCCTTAAGCCCGTACCAAACTATATCGATTGTGAAGGTCGACCTAACCGCCGATTATGACTGACACGTGCACGCGTATTTCCTTCCACTAGCGACATCTCTGGGTCTCGCGACGTCGAACGATACAGACATTTTGCTTTTATCGGCAGACGCATAAACGCAATAGTTATCGGCAATATACCGATCGATGCTTCGGTCATGTCGGCCACAGGAATTTAGCGAATGGTGAGAATGGTTTGATAAGTAACTTGGTTCGCATACTAATAGAGGGCGACAGCGACATCTGTATATGCGATCATAAAGTGTCCTTCCTATGGATGAATATTCTATGGTCACAAGTCAAGTCTGACAGCAATTTGTTGTCTGACAGTTGCTTAAACAGAAGTGTTTCGAGTGACAGTAAGAAATGGATAAAATTCGTAGTGTGATTCAAGACGAAATGCGTGCCATCCGCTGGAAAGGTGATGGCGTCAGTTCTTTGGGATGCGAAAGGAATTCTCCTGATTGACTACCTCGAGAAGGGGAAGATCATTACCGGAGATAACTATGCATCACTTTTGGGCCGATTAAAGGTAGCGATCGCGGAGAAACATCCAGGAATCGCCAAAAAAGGTGCTGTTCCTTGACAACGTACCGGCGCATTCATGCCGTCTCGTTGAACAAAAATTGACCGAACTGCGATCTGAACTGCTTCCGCATCCAGCCTATTCACCCGATCTAGCTCCCACGGATTACCATCTGCTCCTGAAACTCAAGACTTTCCTGGCTGGACAAAGATTTGGGTTAAATGAAGAGGTCATACAGAAGGTAAACGAGTATTTTGAGAGCCTCGAAGAAACCTACTTCCGCGAAGGAATCGCGAATCTGGAGAAACGTTGGGGTAAGTGCGTTGAACTTCGAGGGGGCTATGTCGGAAAATAAACTACGTTACAAAACTTGAATTGTTATCTTTAATATGAAACCAAGTTACTTATCAAACCACCCTCGTACATTTATCCAGAGAGAGAGAGAGAGAGAGACTGGAGTTTTCATCAGGACGCAACTCTAAGCTGACGTGCCGACCTCTCGATGGCGATCGAATCGAATTCGTAGCAGAGCTTCGTGGCTCACGAGAGGAAAGAACAGAGCGCCTCTCTCTCTCTCTCTTCTCCTCCTTCTTCTCTCCCTCTCTGACGCGTGGATTCTCGCGCGCGCGGCACATCGTGATCGGAAGCGTCGCGTGTGTCGCCAATGAATTCCACGCTCCGCCCAGAACCCGGTCGCAGTGGTCGACGAGGAGGCCGGCGAGCCGGGAAATACGCGCAGGACTGAATTCACGTCGGGTCGGGGGCGTGCACGCGCCGGGGATGGTACGGCCCTTCGGCGCGGCTCTCGGGGGTGGCTCACCCCCGCGGCCGCGTCCGCGCGACCGGGAGAGATCAAATCACCCGAGACTCAGTGCTGTCTTCAATCTTCGCGCCGTAACACGCATCGGCGATCGACGACGAGGACGAAGACGGCGGCGACGAGGTCGTCCGCGTCGCGCGCGTTCCCTTCCCGCGTCGACTCGATCGCCCGATCGCTGTACGCTCGGTGATTTCCATTTCTCGAGAACGCCTGCGACTCGCGTGACCTGACCCGACGACGTTATGATGAACCTCGCCGATCAGGAGGTGCCCGCCGCGACCACGGAATTGGCGGGCTTAGTAAGTAACTATGATCTGTACTTAATATTTTATCCTCGGGAACTCAAAGTGCCGCGTCTCCTCGGCCTCCGCGCCGAGAAAACAATTTTTGCTATTTGTTACTGTAACCCGCGTGGAAAATTTCTTCAGATCTAATTGAAACAATTCACAGTCCGATTTCCTAGAATAATTGTGGATTCCAACCCAGGGAAATCTATGTAAGTTCCGGTTGATAGTTCAATATTTCAAACACATGGTTTTCTGAGTGGGAAACATTTTTAAATGAGAATAGATTTTATCTGGTCATCCCCGACGTTTTTCCAAATTTTTGTTTTGTTTACCATCTTACATTACGATCGAACAAAATATACTTTTATTGGTCGAAAGTTACATATCTTAGTGATTAAACAAAGAGTTCACTTTGATTATCCTCGATCGTGCGCGTCCTTTGTACAAATCCTGGTAAGAGTAATTGAGAGGAAGAAGCAATTAACATTGCTAAAATTATACTTATTTTCAGCACCAACTATATTTCCTATCATCAGTTATATCTTCTATCTTTTATCTTCTTATGGTTCTAACAAAAAAAGTGCATGTTATTAATATTATTAATCAGTTAGTTGTGATTAGAAACCGTAGTTAATTAGTTAATTAGTATCTACTAATGTTATTATCGCTAACACTATAACGATACTTACTAAGAATTCTTCTCCCAACTACGCGGAGGAAACAAATTTTGTTGGAACAGCAAATGTTCGGTATAGTGTCGGTATAGTGACAGCAAAAAAAAATTTGTTCAAACAACAAAAAATTTGTTTGGAAAGCAGAAACATTTGTTGAGAGTATTAATTGTCCATATATACCCAGCAAATAGCAATTAATTAACTGTCAACAAATCTTTCTGTTGTCCAAACAAATTTTTTGCCGTCTAAATAAAGTTTTTTTTTTTACCGTACTATATCGGCAAACATTTGCTGTTTTAGCGAAATTTGTTTTCCTCGTGTACGATCGCTGTGCGACACAGTTACAAAAATATATGCGATCACAGTTACGAAAATCAAACCTCTCTTCAAATAGTGCCGCCGCGTACGTATCTATAACAGGGTCTTATTAGCAACGAATCAGAATACACGCCATGACCCACGTATGGAAATTTCTCAAACATTCCCAAATGTAGCATAGATTTCGATCAGATTACCCAAACTTATCCCAAATAAGTATAAGATATTGCGGTACCAATTCAGTTGTAGAGAGAAAATGGAGTCTGCCTGGGTTTACTTTTTAGAATCACGCTTCGGGTAAACGTTGGACAGAGAAAATGGGATCCGTCTGGAGTTGCCACTTAAGACTTTCACTTTTGAAACATCACACCCCTCACCCGAATCTTCATAGATTTCCCAATCGGAATCCATCATCATTTGTTCGGGGAATCGGAATGGATTCCAATCGGATTCCAAAAAATTTTCTGTACGGGGAATCGTCAACAGAGCTTCAACAGGGCATTTCCCCTCTCTCTCTCTTCCAATTGATCAGACTCGGAGAGTTGAGACTCATTAAAGATCGGCGCGTAAAAGCGCATCGCGGTGCCACTTCGATGCCCGGATATCCGTGTCCGCTGATGGACAATGGAGCCCTCCGTCAGGCTTCAGATCTCCGTGTCGTGCGTAACACAATGTGGCTACTCGAAAAAGAAGAGAGAGAGAGAGAGTGAGAAAGGGGAAGGGGGGCTGATAATCGCGTCGGGTGGCCGAATTGCCGCGGCACGCGCCTCCACGCTCCGCTGGCCTCGTCCCACGGGTGCCACCCCTTTTGTGTCCTCTAAACACGTAATTGTCGCCGCTATAGTCGGCCCGGTTCCCTCTTGCATGTGTGTGTGAGTACGTGAGTGCGTACACGCCACCACCGTGACGAGGCGACACGCGAATCCGTGGGTGGCCGATGGTCGCCACGCTCCTCCGCAATGAGAGAGAAAGGGAGGGGGAGAGAGAGAAGGGGGAGGATGACTCGCGAAAGAGAAGGAGGAAGCGGGCCGAATGAAGCGCTTGCCACTTGATTTATGTTTGTTGATTCTAAAAATCAGCCGATTCCCACACAGGCACTCTCCTCCTCTCGTGCCTCGTGTCGGACGACGATGGTATTTAATTGACTGCCACGAGATAGCATATGTCACCACTCGAGTTTCCCATGATTAGGGGTGGCTTCTTCTCGGGAACGGGGCGTGCGGCGAATCACCGGGCGCTGAATGATCGCTGGATCAGTGATCAGCCTCCGCACCTCCGATCACCTGATCAATTTCGAACGTTGATTAAACAGCAACTGTATGTATATATATATATATATATATATATATACACACATATATATATATACCGTTCAGTACAGGGATTCCTAATTGTGTGATTCCTGATATTATAATAAGATCACATATTTTGGGGCAACTTTGGCTACTCTAATCGGAAGCTATGCTGTATATAGGAATATGTCTGTATAGAAATTGAACAAGTGTAAGAATTATAGTCAGAAGAATCGTTTCTCTAGTACGCGTTATCATAGTGTTAGTGACACTAATACCTTATATGGAGGTTTCTACTATTATTTTTTGAAGGTTGAAATCAAATATTAATTATATATAAATATAGATTTTAGTTTTTAAAATATAAATATGAAACAGAAGGAGATGATAATTTAAGGCAAAGTATCGTTATGTTTGTCAGTTGCACAATTCTATAACAATTTTGCCACAAAATTGTTATTGTGCGTAATAAAAAATAGATAACGCTGTCACGTATGATTAACTATTAGTAATCGAAACTGCGAGAGAGTGAAATCGCCGAAAGTTTCACTGAAAGTCGCTCATAACGCAATCTATTCGACGGAGAGCAATTAGCTGATAAACTGAACCGTCAACGCGTCCTTTAATCTCGAGATCTCTCCCATCTCGTCCCCCTCGTCGTGCATTGTTCACCTTCCAGTGTTCTCGCCGCTATTGTCATTGTCTTCACACCTCGTGCCGTCTTACCGAAGATGGCGAGAGAAGAGAAACTTTCTCTCGCTGAAGTAATAGGACTTCTCGCGTGTAATTGATAAAATTGTCCTTGCCGTTATATACCAACACATAATTAGCGCAACTACCTAGAAACTCGCCTTTCATCCGTTGTCTTTGACCAGATTGCGAAATGTTACGAGATGGTTGTTTCACGTAGTACCTGACTATAAATTATTCGCTTTCATTGTACCGGGATAGGAGCGGGGAATTTCCCTGACAAATTACAAACAATTCAGGGAATGATTGCAATATTGCAATATTACAGCGATATTACGTGCTATATGGGAATGATTCGCGTTCAGAGTCTCACTCCCGACGATCCGTCGGCCCGAGTCATCCCGAGATCGGCGATCGCGGGATCGGTAAAGGGATACAGTTCCGCAGCGTGCCGTCCGCCCGATGACTTTATTATAAACCGAATCGAAGCGCACAATTACGAGGGTGGAGAACGGAGGAGAGAAATTTGGGGTGCCGCGCCGCCGACCCCTGCAGCCCCGTCGCGAATGACAGAGGCGTTCCCTCGACGAGTCGTCGTCGTCGTCGTCAACGTCCTCGTAGGTATCTCGTTTTCACGAGGCGTACGTACTCGCTCGCACGATCGCACTCGTCCAAAACGACATCCGCTGAGAAAGGTCGCGTTCAACGGATAATGCGTTAAATGGTACGCGCGCGCAATCGTGTTTACGCCGCCCGCTTACGCGTCATTGCCCGATTAATTCTCTGTTAAATCCCGCTCAGGAAAAAGTCCGCAAACAGACCCTGTCCTGATCGTAAAAATACAGGCAATACAGCGATTCTTAGTGTTCATAACTAAATTGTGAGGAAAAACAAATTAAATACAAAGACTTTTTCTCTCCTCTGTAAGAAGAAAATATTATAGTTTTTTTTTCTTTTTTTTCATATAAATTGTTCCTAATTATACTTCCCATACAACATGACAATATCACAGCAATGTCATATTTTCATTGCAGTGTTAATATTTTTTATATCGAACGATGCACGAAATACGGCCCGAAGTACAGCCGTTCCGTGGACGCGATTAAAATATCTTTCGGGCGTCCGTGAACCTCGTTTCTGCTGTCGGTAAATATGTATACATAGCGGATCGGCGGGCGTATTAAACATTTAAGGCAATATTAGTGAGTGTAATTAAAATTTATGTCCAAGCGTGCGCGGCTTGGGCGGATTACGGGGCGCCGTGCCATCGCGCCGGCTAATTGCGAACGACGATTAATTGCGATCAAAGGAAAATCTCGAGGAGAAATTGTGAACAAATAATGGAACTTCGACGCAGCACGACTCCGGATGCGCTCGTTAATATCAATAGCCGCGTTTTCCCCTGACCGACAAAAAGATGATTTCGCGCGTGCACGGGAAACTGCAATTTGTTTCGCGCTTGTAGAGCCTTGCGAGGACGTTTCGATTATTCCGTTGCTCGATCGCCCGAGAAGGAGATTCTCGCGTGAGGAGGATTTTTGCAAAAGCGAAGCGCTAATCAAACTTAACAAAATTCGACGGAAATCAGTATATCCCGATTGAGAGCAATAAACTTTAAACACACTTCATTTTTCAGTCTTTGCGCGGAAATAACAGTTTGATTGAATTTCTGATTATAAGAGCCGAGTTTGGTTCATAAGAACATATACATATTTCTACTACTATTTTTTTTTTTAATTAAGGCCAGAAGAAGATATTGTTGGGGCCAAAAATAAATGTAATTTTAGTGGGATTCTTTTAGCGTGCAATTTTTCGCGCGAGGCAACGATCGATTCGCGTCCCCGCAGTCAAATTTTACGTAGTCAAAGGCAACGTCTGCGTTATCGAAATTCCCAAAACCGGTAACTGAGTTTACCACTAGATTGCCCCGCAAGGAACAGTTGGAGGAAACCGTCCAATCGTTCACCGGATGTCTTCCTTGCCGCCTCTCTTACCCACCCACTACTCGCCTTCTCCCCTTTCCCCGTCTATTTCTCACTGTGTCTTTCGCTCCTATATTGAAAGCCTCCGAGCTTCACAATCGCTCTCCATGAAATGAATTGCACTCTCCTTGCGCGCTTGTCCGCGATATTGCGCTCTCTACCCTCGAGAGAAAAAGTGAAAGAGAAAAACGCACATCGAGTGCCAATTGCACGCGACGGTTGACACGTATTTTTTCGAGAAAAGAGATAATCAGTATTAAGTCCGACATAGCACGGCAATTTCACAGCAATATCATTATATACATAATATTACAGTGACATTTCACAACTATATTCTTTTACAACAAAGTACCAGTAGCTGTGATAAATTGACCAGTGATAAATTATTGTTTCTTAGTTGTTTTATTACTTATACTTAGAGAAAAAAAATTATTACGCGTAATGTATCAGTAATATTATGTAATATCGCACAGTAATATATAATATTAATGTGATATTGCAATATTACTGTGACATTATTGTGATATTACGTGCTATGTGGGAACATGTTGACGTAAAAACGTGTGAAAATATTGGTTTAGAAAGTCGACGAGAGAGCGATATCGACGATAGGGCTAACTTTCAATCTTCACCTTTTTTTATTTATTCCCAACTTCTGTTTCGCTGTTGCAGCCCGGAAACGGATTCGGCAGGCTACCCGAGCCGCTACAGACAGTCGGGGAGTATTGCCCTGCCAACTACCCGGTGTCTCAGGCGACAACGAACAACAACGAGAAGCTGCACACCGGTGAGTGAATGCGAACAGCGAATTTCCACTTCGATACACTTTGCGCAGCTCGATGTCTCGGGATATTTTCCTCTCACGTCTCTTCGTCCTCTCTTATTCCTTCTCTTTCTAATTAAACGCGTAGGGCGGGGGGAAGGAGGAGGGACACCCGCGAATCCAGATCGAATTTCCTCGAACGCGCGCCGCCCTCTTCCCCCTTTTTTTCTCTCCTCTACTACTTTTCCTTTCTCCTTTTCCGAGAGAAAGTATCCGCGGGCTCTAAACGTGCTTCGGCGTCTTAACGAGAACCTGCGAGGATGTAATCAAGGGAAAAGATGAGTGACGGAGCGGGGACGCAGAGACCGACCGGTCGATTCTTCCCGATATCCCTCCTCCTCCCATCTCCTCGACTTTGAAGCTCTTTGATACCGCCGTCGTCGTCATCGTTGCTCCGAAGCGCTCTCGAAGACGTCCTCGCGTTTCCATCGACGGTGGTGCCTTCGACACGCGCACGCTCAAGACGCGAGTCGAAGCTGTGTGCGAACTCCCGCAGATCACGTGAGCGTACACAGCAATCGCGTACATACGCCCACACATGGGGAAGGGCAAGTTCGGGTACCCCGAAACGAAGCAAGGAGGTAGAGAGGGAGGGACGAAGGGTGAGCTATACCCCCCGAAGAGAGCCTGTCATTCGCAGGCAGACTCGAGTCGATATCTTTATATAGTCGCATCAACGACGACGACGACGACATTATTTTCCAAAGGTCGCGACGTGGTTACGTCGCCCGAGACAATCTGCCACTGGGGTATTTCTCGTCGCGATCGTCGCGCCGAAATCGGCGCCGCATAATCGGCCGACATTCTAGCAGCCGACGCTTTTCGCATTAATTCTACCTCGTCACGCGCGGCGCTCGATTTACGTGAAACGATACTTACGATTAGTGGGACTCGGACGCGATAAAGAGAATAAGGAGCAAGGAATTGAATGTGGGAAACTGGGAGCAAAGAACTGAATTTCGACATCCTATAAGCGCGTAATATTATTTAATATTAAGTAATATTCCGCAAAATTTCACTGTAATGCGTAATATTTCCGCGATATCGCGGAATATTACACGCCATGTTGGGCATTTTTATTTCGAGAATCACCGCAACTCGACAGTTATTGCAATAAGTCGGATACAAATTCAGGAGTAATGAGAGGGGGGAGATTGCCGAATGAGTCGCGAGACGTCTCGTCGTCGTCGTCGTCCTCATTGAAGGCCCGCGCGACGACAGTTAATCGTCGTCGCCTTCCGTTACAAGACGCTTCTTCCGTCAGCGAGACCGTCGGCTTAGCCTTGACCCAGAAACGCGCCACCAATTCCCCGATACGAAATTCAATAAGTGACGTGTTATCACCGCAAAGACCTCCCCTGGGACCTCCTCTCGCAAGCGGGGGGAGAGGGTGCAATCCCATCGTACTCCCGTACTTGTAAGAGCAAGGAAACGAGAGAGAGAGAGAGAGAGAGAGGTACCCCACCGTCGTCTGGCTGCCAGTGATTGACACTTTATATCTAGCATTGGCATGGGCTATGGTGTGAGCCACCACTCAGGGATGGACCACCTCCACCTAACTCAATCACTGCCTATAATGCCGCAATTTCTCTATCATAATCGCGTTACGTTCCCTCCTTGCCGCTACGGCTCGTCGGCCTGCTATCCTCACGACGATTCAGAAATATTGAAACTTCTCTGCACCGTCACAAACGAAAATGTACCATAGGCTGTCTCATTCTCTTTCTCTGCCCTTATCCTTCACTTCCTTCTTGCTCGTCTTTTTACATCGTGTATCTGGAAACGGAGTTTATAACGCGATTTCTTCGCCGAACCACCCGACCGAGACGACTGCGGAACCCTTCGTCCGTTAACACGTACATTGCCAAGCTAAAAATTGGAATTTCGTATTTTTTTTATTTTTTATTTGTCACGTTTTTATTAATCACGCGATATCGCGTGGTGCGAGTTCTCACCAAACGGCCGATCACGCGTTATTGCATATATAATATTTAGAGTAATAAATAATAATAAATATTTAGAGTACATAAATCCTATGTACATCCTATGTACAATCCTATGTACATAATAATAAAAGCATATAAATAATATATTAACTTATTTTGAGCACAATAGAAACTAAATAAAAAAATTAAAAAATACGAAATTCCAATTTTCAGCTTGTTAAGTGATATTCTGAGCATATTCTTGGATATATATGAGCAGGGTGTCCCAGACCACCCGTCTCACCCGATTTTTTCGTAAACGCGACATTTTAAAGAAAAATGTTTCAGACAAAAGTTTTGTGACTTCGAGGGGCACATAAGATGGTGTCATTGGTTTGACCTTGGA